CATATGTTTTAAGATTTCCCATTAACTGAGTAACTGTTTTATTCTCCCACCCATCATGCTCTTGGATGGCTGTGACTTTCAATCGAAACCTCGGAGGTAAAGATCTCAGTATTTTCTTAACAAGCTTTGCTTGCGAGAATGGTTCACCAAGGACCATTGCATGATTCGCCAGTTCCTGTACACGTGTGTGAAAGTTGATGATTGTCTCATCTTCATTCATGCGAAGCTCTTCGATGTCTGACTGGACAAGTTCCAGCTTTGATTGTTTCACCGATGTAGTTCCTTCGTAGGTTGACTCAAGAGCTTCCCAAGCTCCTTTGGCTGAAGGAATACCTGCAACAATTGAAAACTGACTTTCATGCATAAGAGAGTAAATTGTGTCTAAAGCTTTATCATTGTTTCCAGCGTTTGTTATCTCAGATTGAGTCCACTCAGTCTTAGGCTTAGCTACTTCGGTTCCGTCAGTGCTGGAACTGGGTTTGGTGGGATGTGTCTAGCCTGACACCACAGACCGCCACACGGCTTCACCTTGAGCTTTTAGGTGCGTACGAGTGCGAGCCTTCCAATAGGCGTAGTTGTCGCCGGTCAGCTGGGGAATGACTTTTGTTCGATCCATTCTGTAACACTTAACACCCCGTGAGATCAAACAAATAAGCAATAAACAGATAAATAATAAAAGTCGTTGAAGAGATGAATTCAAGGGGCACGGAATCGCTAGATCGATAGACTAATAAGTTAAGTCTACAGGCTCTGATACCAATTGAACTTGCACCGTGAATCTTGAAATCAAACAGTAATGTATTTTTACTTGTTTTTAAGTTAAACACCAATTACGTTCATTAATTAAACTTGTTTAAACAAATATAAATAATGAAGACAGAAAGCATAAACGAAAGTAAAAACACAAAGAAATTGTTACGCAGTTCGGAGCTCCTTCTCCTACGTCTGCGGGGCACTCCACGTCTGCCCAATCCATTATAGATGTTCACCAAAAGGAGTATTACAAGAGGTAAATACAGATGGCCTCCAGCCTTTACCACTACCACTCGTTCTAACACCTATCCAGGACTGACACACGTATGCCAGAACAATCTTCACAAGATGCATCAGCAGTACCACGTACAGAACATGTATTACAGATTTAAATCTTCTTAATAATTAAATAACATAGCAGATTAAATTAGGAAGCTTTGTAAGGAAAGTGTGCACTCGGAATTATAGTCTCAAAATTGGCAAGTTTCCCTTTTGATGTGCTTTCCTTTTATACGCTTCACCTTCCACTTTCTTGATCCACATTATGTGTTGCACATGTGATTCAAACATCCTTAGCCACTCATTCTTTAGTAATCTCTGACTTGCATTTTGAATCCTTCTTCATGAGAAAATCTCCACCACAAATTGATCTTGGTCCAAAAGATTAACTAAATAATAATACTACTAAATAATACAAACTAATAAATCAATCTAATAAATTAAACTAATAAATTAGCCAAATTAATGTGTACTAATTTGTACACTTACAGTAAGGAATAGAATATGAATTGTATTCTGTTGTTTGGTTCGCTGAAGGAATAGACTTTAAAATTGTATTCCAACGTTTGGTTGGTTAAGGAATAAAAATGGAATATATGTGTAACAGACATAAATTCCCTTGTACAAATTAAAATATAATATATAATAATAATAATAATAAATAAATAAATAAATAAATAACAAAATTAAATAACATTTAACAATCCAATGTAGCAAGTTTTTTACCCAGCGGTTCAATGGGCCAATTGCGAAGTCGGAGGCTTTGGTTGACCATGGAGGTTTTATCGGCAATCGCGATGCTGGGTGGTTCGAGGAATCCATCATCGACGGAGGTGTTGCTGTTGGTGGAAGTCTCGTGTGGGCAATCGGAGACTGGAGATGGCCTGTGGGATATGTTGCGATCGCAGTTTGCCACTCAATTGGATGCTCGAAGACCTCCTACCCTGTCGAAGTCAGCTAGGGTTTCCCTCGGCGTGTCTGGCGGAGGTGGTGATCTCGTTGGCACTGATCGTCCTATCACTTCTAGTCAGAGAATTTGATCGCATCTTCGAAGTTCACCGGTTTGACAATCCGATTGGAGGTCATCTGGGCTTCCAAGAATTTGATCGCATCTTCATCGTAGTTCACCGGTTTGACAATGACGATCCTGTTACTGGGGACGAAGGAAGGTTCGGCCAAGAAAAATTGGGGATAAATAGGAAATAACAACTTTAGGCTATTCCTGAGAACTCAGGAATAGTCTAATACCAGAATGAGGTGGGGGGGGGGGGGGGGGGGGGAATCTCTATTATCTTTGCAAGGGGAATAGGTCATTCACAGGAGTAATGTTCCTGAGAATAGAAGTTTTTACCAAACAAAGGAATAGACTTATTACTGGGAATGCTATTCCATTCCAAACCTATTCCGCGAACCAAACGTGTCATTAGAGTATCCTCTACAAAATTCAACCAAAGGTTGTTGTATTCTTAACTATATATTCAACTCAAATATCTTGATTTAATTGGCTTGAATCTTGAATCTTGAGCTGCTTGTTCAACTAAATTTATAAGCTTTAATAGTTTAAATTAAACTTAGACAATCTCTCTCAATACTCTTTGTTCTCTATATCTCCTTGAAGTTCACAAGTTGCACTTATAATATTGAGTTTGAAAGCACCTATTGAAGAGATATACATTTCATATTTTAAAATTTAATTGGCTCCATGGTCATTGAACAATGGGTGTCACTTGGTTCAATTATATATAGATTTTTGACATTTTCAAGCTTTGGTTACCATTTTTCTAAGTTGTCAGCACATTTCATGTCTTTTCTTAATTAGACATTTTCTAACATAGGAACTCCTTTCCAAATCTAGAAGCTAAGTATCTTCATTGACTTCAATGTCAACAACCTAGCTAGCTAGTATTGTTGTGAGGTGAATATATATCCTTTTTGTTAGTATTTTTTAGTGAAGTTAGTTAATTAGAACATAAGACTTAATATAGAAATATTTTCTTTTTTCATCTATATTATACACTTTTGTCATTGTACCAACCTTTCTACTTTCATCATTTTGTATCTCGAGCATTCTGCTATATGATTTACCTTTTTTACTTTGACTTCATTGTTTTGTACTTTGTAACTTTTCTACTCATTTGTTCATATATATTTTCTCAACTTATTGGGATCACAAAGAGGTAATATTGCCCCTATTTTGAAGAGTCACTTCGTGTCACTAGACTACAAGGTCATTGACATTTACCTTTTTACTTTGACTTTATTGTTTTGTGTGAGTACCTCTCTACTTTAATTTGCAACTTTTTTCTACTCATTTGTTCTCATCTTTCTATCTTAAGACTTATGTATTCTATCATTTCACTTTATTCTTCCCTTGTAGACATATTATTCTAAGTATTCTAACCTTTCTACTATATTACTTTATTTGTTGTTTCGTTACTATACTATTATATTTCTTCTACTCCTATTGTTTTACTTTGTTACGTTGTTAAATTACCTTGTTATAAGGCTCGGCTGCTTTGTCTTATAACATTCACTATTTTTCTACTTGACTTTTTCCTTGTATAATCCAGTACTTTTTTTTTTTTTTTAGTAACGAGAGCTTTATTAACGGCGAATAGTTCGAAGGGAGGCAAAACCCCCAAGATCATACATGAGAGCCAATTTAGAAGATCATAACAATGTATAGTAATAGAAAGATTCAAGGAACAAAAGAGTACTGGAATATAGAAAGTAGCTTTTCTGTTGTGTTTTAAACATGATTGTTCTATTTCTTATTTCTAACCAAATTGAACTTTTGGCTTTATATTATAGTCTTATATTTTTAAATCGTATTTTCTTCTTCTTCTCATTAATTGCTCTTAAAAAGGGTTGTATGCCTCCCCAGTCTCTGATCTCCTCTCCATTCTTCTCTCAAGGGGCCCCTACACCCCGATCCAACAGATCATTTGAGAGTATGTAAATCACGGTGACTTAATGGCTTAGTAGTCAGGGCCAAATGCCGGTGTGTACAAAGGATTTGTCCATTTTTAGCATAATTCTATGCCGCTGCCGAAATTCGAACCTTGGTCTACTGAACCAATGAGTTAAGTCCATGCGGACATCTCCTCTCCATTCTGATTTGTATAGGTCACACAATGGGCAGAGATATGTTAAGTTATTAATTAATTAAGATGCGGCTAATGCTGCTTTCTACACTATATGCAACTTCAAGCTTTTCGTCAAAATCTAACAATACCAAACTATCAAACTTTAAGAGTCATCTAAAGGTAGAGGTTTAAACTAAAGTTGTATCAACATATGGAAAAATACTTTAAAAATTTCACACAGGACAAATTAAATCTTACCTAATCTTTGGTAATCAAATCAAAAGATCTCTAATCTATCAATCTATTTAACTTTTAATTTATAAAAGAATAATGCTACACATACAATTCTGTTAAAATTTCCTTCATATGTTCCTCTATTGATGTAACACTATTTAATTAGTTACTTTAGTATTTAATTAAAAATATATGAAATCAGTCCATTCATAACACCCAATAAATATAAACCACTGCACATCATGAGAAAATTTTAGAGTGAAAAATAACATTTTCCTTTATATCAAAATACAAACCTTAGCAAAATTTGTCCCACGCCACTCACCAATATGCAGTGTGTGTAATGTTTCTACAGTATATATAAGATTATTAAAAATAATTTTCTTTTTTATGTTTACATCAAAATTTAAATACAAGTAACCACACTTAAATATATTTAAATTTCGTACCAACTACTATGTAGTATCATAGCACATCTGATCTGTTACCATTTCAAATAGTGGGTCTAATCAAAGGTGGTGGGGGACATTGGTTCTTTAGGCCGAAAAAAATTGAGAAAGTATAGAATTGAACATATACTATCTTGTAAAGAATCATTAGTGTTTAAAAAAATTATATTTAAATTTTCTATTTCATTCACTTAATTAGTTTTGTTTAATCTACTTTTGATCACTTATATACAATTGAACTTCACAACTCGTTGCATGCCCATATACCGGGGTCCCGCCATTTCCCCACCATCTAAAAAAACAAAAAAGAGTCTAAAATTATGGAAAAAAAAAAAAAAAAAAACAAAACAAGAAAACAAAACATAACAAAAGCCTAATTGTCACAATGCATCTATAACCCTTTGCTTCTTGCTACATTCCAATGGCAATAACAGCTCCGGCTCCCCCATCCTCTTCCGGCCGCCATTGCTGCTCACAGGTGGCACCGTGTTACTACATATGTTGACTCCAAAGAGCCTCACCGTTTTGACAGGTGGCGGCGGCGAGTGGACCCCACTCCGGGGGGACTTCCGATCTATGTAGAGGCGTTTATCTTCTCCGGTGGACCTCCGGAAGCTGACGACGTCGCCGGCTCTCAACCCCTTCTCCTTCACGAATCGGCTCCACCCTTTGGTCAGCACGTAGCTCTGGCTGCTGTTCCAGTAGGAGTAGCGGAATCGCCACACTTTCCCGTTTTGGTCCTCCAAGTTTAGGACAACTCCCTTGGTAGTAGTGGGCGATAATGGCAGGTACTTCTCGGCGTGTTGCTTCGGGATCACCAGCCGGTTCAACTTCCCCACGTCGCTCGGGGTCACGGCTTTCTCGAAAAGCCGCTCTCCTCCGCCGCCCATTTTCTTCCACTTCTCGGCCTCGCAGTGCTCCAAACTTCTCCGGCGGCTTAGCTCGTCGGCGTAAGTGTGTTTCCGGAGCATGTCGACGATCTCCGCCTTCGACCGCGACAACAGGAACGACAGCGCCGCGGTGTCTTCGGTCTCCGACAAGGGCTTGAAGTTGGTGACGGCGTCGCGGCCGCGGAAGCGCTGGGCGGCGACGTCGTAGGCGCGGCCGGCTTCGTCTTCTTCGTTGAAGGTCCCCAGCCACACCCGTTTGTGCTTCTCGTAGATTTGAGCCCCCCACCGGCCGTTGGGCTGGGGAACCACGCCTTTGAATTTCGAAGACTGGAGCTTCCGGGATGGTGATTCCACCTCTGTGATTGCGCTCACGCCGCTTCCCAATCGCCGGAGATTCTCCGGCGACTGTGACGCCGGGGAAATAATGGAGGTTGAAGGTGGCGCCAGCGACGTAGAGTCGCTACATGAGCTCTCATTTGAATCCATTGTTTTGTTTGTTAAAATGAAATTAAAATGAAATTTGAGAAATGAAAGATAGAATTATATATAGAAAGAGGTAGATTTGAGATAGATCCAGAAAAGCAGTCTGAGTAGGCTTTTATTGACATACACGGGAACTTCTATAATACTCGCTACCTTTTACTTCTATGCCTTCCACTTGGAATCTTGGATTAACAATTTTTCTATTTTTAGAATATACAGACTAAAAAATATATATAAGAGAATTTTTATACACACATAAAACATGTACATTATTATTACTACTAGCATTTTGTACGCGCAATGCACGAAGTTTTATGTCCAATATTAAAGCACTGATAAATATAAATAATTAAAAATTATAATTCGAATTATATACACAAATAATATATGTATTTTACTATTTTATACACACATATACAATTTATCATTCATAGAAATCAAAATAAAATATAATCAACTATTAAATTAATTATATAATGATTTTAATAAAATGATAATCGAAGAATAGGAAAAATATATAATAGATATAGGTGCATGGTAATAATGATGGAGTAACCAATGTTATAATTAAAAAGTAACGAAACAGTGTTATAACGGTGTAAAAGTAGTTTTGTCTAATAACATTGAACTGTGAAACATTTAAAGTAAAATGTATACATTTATTAGCATACAAAAAGATGGACATAAATCAAGGAAATAACTTTGATGGAAACTTATTATGTTTTTAGATTATTATTATTATTATTATTATTATTATTATTATTATTATTATTATTATTATTATTTGTAATTAATATTACTAATTTCTTTATATATATAATCTTATACCAATTGAAACATATTAATGTTTACTTTATAAAATTAAATAAACCACTGCACCGATTATAAATACTGTTTTTATGAGATATATTTCAGTTGAAATAGTAAATGAGAGAGATAATTACGTATTATAGTTGCTAGTAAAGTAGAGAATATAGTTTTTAGCTTAGCAATAAATATATATACAAGTTGCTACGTGTGTATGGTATATATATTTCTGAGGAAAATTTATTTGGAGATATGGGGATGTGTATGGAGGCAGTATTGGTCAACCTTCAGATTCAAAAACAAGATGGTAATAAGGAGCTAGCTACGAAGATTCATTTTGTTAACAAATAGTTCATTCAAAAAAAAGTTCATTAAAAAAAAAGGTACTCAAAATTTGCTAGTATAGGTTGGATTATATTACACTCCCCCCACCCCACGCACACCCAACCTGGACTAGTCTACTAGATAATAGTTTGTACTTTGTAGTGTCTTAATCTGAAGTCAAAGACTGATACTATATGACCACAAGATCTTGAGCCAATAACAAATTTTTAATAAAAGAGAATGAAATTATTATACAATTGAATACATATAAATGCATTACTCAGTAAATAAAGTATTACATTTTCCTTTACAAGCGCACTATTACTTATAAGGATAAATATAATACTTTTGATGATAAATATAATACTTTTACATCAAAATATAAAATTATTACTAACGGTAAGTATGTTATCGGAAAATATAATATAAGAATACCAGATAGTATTGCTTTAGTATTTTAGTACAGAATATTTAGCGTGTGTCCTCTCTCATCCATGAATCATCTACTTATACATGTCTACTAACGGTACGTAATATCATAATTAGGAGCTGAGCCATTATTTCCTATCTTGAACGAGCGGGGTAGTAAATCACCGTAGTAAATGACTTCTGCCCATTGGAGTTCTGTCCGTTGGATTTCCATGTAGTGCCGGGTCAGGTGCTTGTTGACAACTCGGGTAGGGTGCTAACCCCATTACTCTGTCACCAGCCCCCCTACTCCTAAGTCTGCGGATGTGCATGAGCTGGCTTGGGAATAAAATTGCATCAAGTTCCTCTTTTTTTTTTTTTTTTTTTTTTTTTTTTTCTTAACCGAAGCCACGGAGGCGCGATCTCGGCTCGGGATTCGGCCAGTTTTGGCCGAGGCGGACCTCGACCAATTTTGGCCGAGGCGGACTCGACCAGTTTGGACGAGGCGGACCTCGGCCGATTTTGGCCGAGGCGGACTCGGCCAGTTTGGCGTGCCTGAGGCGGACTCGAAAATTTTATTATTATTATTATTATTATTATTATTATTATTATTATTATTATTATTATTATTATTTTATTTTATTTTATTTTTGTTTGTCTCTGTGTGTGTTCCTAGCTTACTTCGACCGGCTGTAGGCTCGGTCAAAGGTCAGCTCTTCCGTAGAGTAGTGAGCGAGGTTAGACCTCGTACTATTCCTTACGGGATAGCGTTTTCGTAACCAAACTTTGAGTTTGACCAAGAAATGCCCTTCCGTCGAGTAGCTAGCCGGACTGAATCCAGTGCCGGCCCTTAGGGAGTACAGTGCGGTAATTAATAATTTTTTCTCAATTTTTCTTTGCATTCTTTCGACTAGGGCCGACTCATCAGGGTGTCTGCGTGGGGCCGGCTGATCAAAGTGCCGGCGCGGGACCGGCTCATCAAAGTGTCGGTGCGGGGCCGGCTCATCCAAGTGGAAGCGCGGGGCCAGCTCATCAAAGTGCCGGCACGCGACCGGTTCATCAAAGTGCCGGCGCGCGGCCGGCTCAACCAAGTGCAGGCGCGCGGCCGGCTCATCCAAGTGCCCGCGCGTGGCCTGTAACACCCCTAATTTTTAAAACATTTAATGCTTACGAATTAAAGGCAAATCTAACATTAATCCCCAAACAGAGCATAAGCTAAGCATAAGAGTCGGAGTGCTATATATGCCACATCTAAGCTAGAGAGCTTAGATGCACGGGTTAAACTAACTAAACACAGCATAAATCCATAATCGAGTACAAATCAAGGCACACAGGCCAACTAACGAATACTAAACTATCTAAGTTAAGTCCTCGTGCCCATCTAGCGCACTCTAAAGCTACTGATCTGCACCTGAAAAACATACGGTGCAACAACTGTCAGCGAATAATGCTGGTAACCCACTCCCACATGTTAAGTACAATATAGGTAGATATAAGAAAACCATTTTGAGACTGGAATACATATATAATCCTAAACAAACTCTACCTTTAAAACCAAGATCAATACTCAAGACGCGACAACATGTTTAACATTACGAATCATCATGAAAATACTAGCATGTGACCTAACTCGCAAGATAAGGTAATCACAAAGTTCAGCAATAACAAACAATAACAACAATAAGGCACAACAACAAGCAAGGACAACAACAACAATCGTATCACAATTCAGCTTTATACCAAGTTCCAACCTTTACTCCTCTCCAGCATTATATCAGTTCCAACCTGTACCTCCAGGCCACCCTTTTAACGCCTCCCTTATCCCTCTAGAGCACTTCATGGCTCCCCTCCAACATATCTCCAACATAACCACCGATCTGATAGCACCGCAGTACCATTAACACATGATTCGTGCCTATAGCACTATAATCAAGGGGTCTTGCCTATAGCACGAAGACATGGCATCGCAACGCTTATAACTTGACCCATGCCTTTAGCAAGCAAGTCAAGGTGGTTCGTGCCTTCAGCACGATAACCGAATGGTCTGTGCCTTTAGCACAATAACCGGGCGCTCGTTGTGCCAACCTCCAACAATCTTTTCTACCATTCAAATCTCTTTCTCATCATGTACAATCACCCACAACAATCGGCACACACAACACCAACAACAACAGTGGCCACCGCTCAATAGCAACAACAATCAATACACATCAACACATAACAAGGGGTAGTCAAAGGGAAGGGCACAATCAACCACATAGACTTCCATCAACAAATGACATCAACATAAACACGCGACCCACAAGACACAGCCTAAACTCTACTTCCCAAGATAACGGGACAATCACCAGACACTCACGAGATCATTCAATTTTCATCCTAGGCCAACGGAATACCAACTTAACCACATGCAATAATCAAAACTCATAACTCCTAAAACGGTACCCGAAACATCAAACGAGACTCGTAAACATCAAACGGGACACAACGAGACACGGAGAAACAACAAACGAGATAAAACATCACGACACACCGCCCCATTCCAGTGGGTGTACGACAGGTGGTCAACCACCCGCCGGTGGGCGGTCATGTACCAGCGGGTACACGGCGGGTGGTTGACCACCCGCCGGCCACCCGCTAGTACGGCGGACATGTATTGGCGGGTGGTCAGATGGGGATTCGTCCCCCCACCGACCCCCCATTGGTTCAATGGTAACTTGGCATTTTTCCCAACTCGGGAATTCCTCAATTACACCCAAAATCAAGTCCAAATACATCCCAATACACATCAACAACAACGTGGACCCGAACCACATGAATTAAGCCAAGAAACCAACACAATTAAATCCTAAACACATGCTCCTAACATATCAAGATTCAAGAATCAACTCCTAATCATGCAAGAACAACAAGAATCACAAGAACATCAAGATTCCATCAAGTAACCCTAATTACAAGCTCTAGTTATGCCTAAACGCAAGATCACACGTATAATCAATCACACATCAAGATCATCAAGATTATCAAATAAACACGACATAGGCCCTAGGCGAAGCTCTGTCAAGACTCAATCACAGAATTACACATACGGTTATCAAATGAGCCAACAAATAAGATATATAAAGGAAAATAAGTTTTGTAAGACATGGGTTACCTTTTTAGCTTAATTAAACTTCTCACAACTTCCTAAAATCTTTCATCAATCGATCCTCCCTAAGCCCAGTAGTGATGGGGGATTCTTTGACTATGTTCTTGAGAGAGGATTTCGTGTGGGGAGAGGGAGATATGGGTGATAGGGTTCTAATGCCTTCTAATTCCCCTATATATAGGTTAGGATCCCTAATACGAATTCGGATGGGTAAGAGGTTTGGGATTCCTAATACAAATCTGAAAAGGTAAAAGGCTTTAGGATTCCTAATACTAATCTAAAAAGGTAAAAGGGCCCTCCTTATTTTGTCAAAAAGGCTAACGGACTTTATTTTAGACAAAGGTCCACGGTCCAACATGGACCGTATCAATAAATTAGGGATTTGGGTATTTAAAATCAT